TCAGAGCCAGGCACCCCCAGCCCCCCTGCTCTAACCCATCCCTCCCCCAGAGCCAGACACCCCCAGCCCCCCTACTCTAACTCAATGCCCCACCCCTCCCGCAGAGCTGGGGACATAATCTAGTGGGGCGAAGGGTAACAAGGTGACTCTGTGGGAGGAGCCAACCCTGCCCCACATCAGACCTGCTGTGGGTCTCACCAGATCTGCCGCCCCTGCCGCAGCCACATGCTTTTCCCACCGGGTGCTGGGGCATGTGCACAGGGCGCCCATGAACAGTCCGCATGCATGGCTCCGAACATTGGATTTGACCGCACATGCCCCGCCCCCTTCCCAATCATCTTTGCAGGGAAAATCGCGGACATTTTTTGCCATTTAAAAAAGCCAGCTGGTCGGAGATTTAACAAGTGAAAACGAGGACATGTCTGGGAGAAACCGGACGTGTGGTAACCCTAGGTGTAACCAAGGGACCCCTGGAATACTGGTCCAAAGTTGTCAATGGAGCACACGTCTCTTGTGTTAAAAAGTCTCAGAAGGGCAGGCGTGATAGTCTGTAACTTCAAAAAAACAAGCAACAGTCTTGTGGCACCTTAGGGACTAACAAATATAGATCTATAGTATCATGAGCTTTTGTGTGCACAACCCACCTCCTCAGATGAGCACTTTTCAACAAGAATGGTACCAGCCCGAAGGCGGTGGAAACGCCATTTCAGTGCTGTGTTCACAAGCATTAGCAGCATTGTGAAACTTACCTTTACATGCCACAAGCTTTTGCACCTGATCGTTATGGGCTTCTCCAATCCAGGCATAGAAAATAGGGCTGGGTGACTCTTCTAATCAATCACAGCTTAAATAGTGACTATCCCCCAGCGAGGCTATGTCTACAACTGTGTTTTGTTGGAAGAGGCAATGCAAATGAAGCACTGATTAGCATTTTCTCGCCCTGCATTTGCATAATCTATTCCAATCTGTTTTTGCGCAAGAGGTTTTTGCGCAAAAACATGCAGTATGGACGTGTCCTAATGCTTCTCCTGGATCTTGTGCAAAAAGGGTTTTTTGCACAAAACGGACACATCCACTGCATGTTTTTGCACAAAAACCTCTTGTGCAAAAACGGATCAGAATAGATTATGCAAATGCCGGGCGAGAAAATGCGAATCAGCGCTTCATTTGCATTGCCTCTTCCGACAAAACACATAGGCTACATCTACACTGGCATGATTTTCCGGAAATGCTTTTAACGGAAAACTTTTCCGTTAAAAGCATTTTCGGAAAAGCGCGTCTAGATTGGCAGGACACTTTTCCGGAAAAGCACTTTTTGTGGAAAAGCGTCTGTGGCCAATCTAGACGCGTTTTTCCGCAAAAAAGCCCCAATCGCCATTTTCGCATTCGGGGTTTTTTCCGGAAAACAGTACTGTGCTGTCTACACTGGCCCTTTTGCGCAAATGTCTTTCGGAAAAAGACTTTTGCCCAAACGGGAGCAGCATAGTTTTTCTGGAAAAGCACTGATGATTTTACAGTAGATCATCAGTGCTTTTCCGGAAATTCAAGCGGCCAGTGTAGACAGCGGGCAAGTTTTTCCGGAAAAGCGGCTGATTTTCCGGAAGATCTTGCCAGTCTAGACACAGCCCTAGTGTAGACATAGCCTGAGTGATTATTATTCTCAAACTTTGTATGACCTTTGTCTCATAGGCCCTGTCACGCAGCAAGACACAGTCCCTGGCCCAAAAAGTTTACAATCGAAGCATAACTGCAGTGAATAGTTTGTAAGCGATCGAGAATGCAAAGCATTTGCAGACAAATGCACAGGAAAATTATAAACAGGCTATTTTTGAGGGAAGCATGATCTGATGGAGATTCCGGTAGCAAAAAAGGAGGCTGCATGTATTGGATAAATTATTTAATACAGATTATTCACTTGGTGTGTCAGCTGTAGCATCGGCCTACTTGTTTCACACCTGTGTCCTGCTAGTGCCAGCTAAGCCTTCTGTAACAAGAACATCTGGGCTCCCTTAAGAGGAGGTACTGTCAGCATGCCTTTTGTTGGGACATGGCACTTTCAGAGAGGAATTCTGGGGGATGTAGTTTCCCAGGAGGGATGGCTCTGGGAAGAACAGTCTCCAAACATGTGGTCAGGAGAGGGCCCATGTGACAGACAGGCTGTATATAAACCCTGTTACTCCGCATGAGGAGGGAGCTGAGATGTTGGAAGAGGCGCTGTCTGAGAGGAGAGCTAGTGA